CCTCTAGCCTCCAGGACTTAAAGACAGTACGTTTCTGTTGTTCAGAGTCTGGGATACTTTGTTATGGCAGCAGCAGGAAACTAATACAGGTGGTCAGGGCACTGCAGCTGTTCCTTCAAAGGTCCTCATGTGACACGGCTTCCCAGCCCTGACCACACCCTGGGGGCCCATCCCAGTGGTGGCTGAACTGAGCACAGTGTTCCCCATGCTCCCCTCCCTTGCCCTGGAGACAGCATCTTTGCTGATGAGGCCCTGTGCCCCGGGAGGTTTCAGGCTGCAGCTCCCATGAGCGGTCAACTAAGCACCCGCCTCCTCAAATCCTGTTCTCCTGGGATTGCTGTTAAACCACAGTGCTCTTGGGCAAGACTAAATGATGGGCCGTCACATTTCTGGTGTCAGGCCCCGCCATTTTCATGCGTCCATAATATGTGGCTCTTCGGCAGGCGCTCTCCTGCCTCGGTGGCCTTTCCCACACACTGTCCTCTGCCCTGAGTGCCTTCCCTTCGCCTCTGCCTCCTCGGACCCCACCTGGCCTTCGCTGCCAACCTGGGGCTGTGCCAGCACCCAGTGCCTGGCAGTGTGAACAGTTTTCACCCTCGCTCATTTGAATAATGTAGGAGGCTTCTCTCTTTCTTCCAAAACCCCAAACATTTGATTCTTTCTTAGAGCATTCAAACATCCTACTTTCCATTTCTGTGTGTTCCCTTGGGGAGACTGTGAGCTCCCCAAGGGCAAGCGGGGCATCTCAAGGCACGTCTGTTCCCCCAAGGGACTGGCCATCACATGACTTCCCTCAGCCCAGATGCCTGGAAAATATCTGCCAACAAGACACTCTCAAATACACAGACCCCAGGAGCTGCATGACCCTGTTCTCTAAAAGCTCAGATCCTCTCATTCCTTAATGGGGTGCTTATCCATCCAAACTCAGGAGCTCCTTCCAGAGAGCCTGATTTTCATTTGCTACGAGAAATGGAGAGAACACAGTGCCCTCTCCCTATGAGCCTCAGGACCCTCCGCGGCCTGGGGGCGGCTGTTCGCTGCCCACACACACGTGTATACACGCACACACACCCACGTACACACCCACATGCGCACATGTGAACGGAGACACCACCTCTCCACCCCGGTGACCTGGAGCTGGGAGGATGCTCCCAGATGTCCTAAGACCTGCCAGGGTGACCCACAGTCCCGGCCCCAGACTCACGATTCTGGAGAGTGGGGGGATCCGGGAAGCCCAGGAGCCCAAGGCTGCGATGCCGCCCAGCAGGTAGCCAAGGATTTCAGTATTGTCCTGCGGGAACAGCGATACACTCAGCACCCTGAGGAGATGCCCATGCACCTCAGGCCCGTCCTTTTCTGCTTTTACGAGGTTCTTCCCAACAAGGCCTAACCCTGACACCCACCCCCAGGGCATTTGTTGGAACTAGGAGAAGGGGAGGGGCCCGCATTCCCCCGCCCCCCCCCATCAGGTCCCCCTGAGCAGGCTCGACCTCACCTGTACCAGGCTTCCCAGCAGCCTCCGCTGCGGCCCTCGGATGGGGCCTGAAGCCTTCGGGACAGCGGCCCACAGAGCCCAGCCTGGGCCCAGGCTCAGCGGCAGGACCAAGGCAAATATGCTGGCCCTGAGCTGCCGCCTTCTCTTTCTCTCCCGGGAGCCCCGACCTGCAACAGACACCAAGATCCCACAGGGCTCCCGGGACCTGGAACTCGACAGACAGCTGCATGGGAAGAACTGGTGTCGACCCCAGACCCGAGGCCAGGATGGGCTCCCACACTGTTCAGGCCAGCCCCTCACCCCCCTTCAAGGGCCTGTGGTTGGGTTTTCCCCCCTTCCCCTTATCCCCCCACCTCCCCATGACTGGCACTCTGACCCTTCCTCAGCCTCTCATAGTGTTTTATGTTGCAAGGCAGGGCAACGTGATCCTTTTTCATGCGCATCTGCAGATGCACACAGAGTCGCCCGCCCTAGACTGGAGGCCACTGAAGGCAGGCACTGTGCCCGGCCAGTGCTAGAATCTGCACGGAGCCCGGCACAGCGTGGAACCGGCACAAGCTGGGTGAATGTATTATGAGTGGGCACGCTGGTGCCAAGGCACCAAAGGTGTGAGTAGGATAAGCATCGTCTTTGAAAGTCTCCTTGAAATAGAAGACAGATCTGCCTCTGAACAATTCCAAAAAGAACATTCCTCCTCTGGGCAGCCTCGAGCAGCTGAGAGCGTCTTACATCACCCCTGATGCAAGCATTTCCTTTTGGCACAAGGGTCCGAGCACACTGCTGCCCCTTCTCAGGAAAGTCCCAGTCCCACATACTTAAGGCTACTCATCCCATCTCAGTCACTTCCAGCGCCCGCTTGGCCTGAGGCAGCCCAGGTGCTTCACTTGGAGCCCCTGGACTTGCACACTGAGTATCACTGTCCATCCCCAAAGCCCCGCCCCCTCCCCCCTTGCGGTCCCAGTTCCGACGTCACATCCTTCTCTGACACCTGCAGCCCCTCCCCTGCTCTGGTTGCCCATTGTATGCCCACACCCCCTTACCAACAGCGCTAACTACCTTTTAGGCCCCTGACTCCCCCCTCTGGGTAAAGCCAGGGAGCTCAGCCATTCGTCTGTGCCTGGCAGGGTCCAGGCTCGGGCGTGACAGGGAGAGAGGCACTCAGCACACTGATGGATGAAATGAGTGAATGGGTGAAGACAGGAACAGATGGCAGCACACTTACCTGAATTGGACTTGACTTTGGAGCTGCAGACTGGGAAGAGAATGGACACAAAGCTCACCAGGTCAACAGCTGCTAGGTAGGCACCAGTGAAGACCTGGGAGCAAAGGAAAAAGGGTCTTGGTGTTCAAACACCTTTCAGCAACTGTAGCACCTCTCATTCTGGCTCTCCTCTACCGCGTGTGTTCCACTGATGTAGGGCTTCCAGGGACACCTCCAACCCCAGGAAAGGTTGGTTATCACCTCCATTTGACTAACGAGGACATGGGGTGCTTAAGTAACCAATCCCATTATGCAGACGCCCATCAGAGAGATGGATCAAGAACTCAGCCCGCCCCACTTTCCACTGGACAGCATGGTCTCTGCTGTGCAACTTTGGCCCAGCCACTGAACTTCCCTGGGCCTCGGTTTCCTCATCTAGAAAGCAGGGATAATAACACTGCCTCCCTCATAGTTAAGTAGATTATATGGGCCGATACATGGGAAGTTGCTTAGGCCAGCGACTGGACGAAAGTAAAATGCACCCACCCATACATGCACTAGCTACTGACAGTATAGTTGACACTTGAACAACTCAGGGGTTGGGGCACCGACTCCTCTGCAGTGGGAATTCCAAGTATAACTTTACAGTCAGCCCTCTGTATCTGAGGTTCTGCACCCATGGATTCAACCAACTGTGGATCCTGTAGTGCCGTAGTGTGTATTTATTGAAAAAAATCCATGTGTAAGTGGACACACACAGTTCAAACCCATGTTGTTCAAGGGTCCACTGTACTTAGTGCTTAAGAGCATGCGTTCTGGGGTTTGAATCCTGACTCTGTACTTGCGAGAGGGTGAATTTAGCAAGGTTATTTAACCTCTCTATGCCTCAGTTTCCACATGTATATAACAGGGATAATGAGAGCACCCACGTCATAGGTCGATTTGAGGATTAAGTGAGTTAATACATGAAAAGCCCTTAATGTCAAGTACATAGTTAAGTATTTAATAAATATCAGCTATTATTATTGGACTTGAGCTAGGCCTCATTATAGACTATCAGCTAATGAGAATGGGCTCCCAGAAGGAAAGGTGATTTGTTTCTGATAGAATGCTGCTCACAGCAGGGTCTAGAACACTCCAAATCTGTGTCCAACCACTAGGCTCCCCTCCTTCGCATCTACCTGGATGGCAAAAGGCCAGGACTAGCCCCCTGAAGTGGGACCCATAGGTCCTCCTTGGGATATGTGTTTTGGGATAAGTCCCTTCTACACAGATTTGTTTGAGGGTCTAGACTTTGGAAAAACTTGACACTGCTTCTCACTTGCTCCAAAGCCCACATCACCACCTGGGAAAGGATTCAGACACCCCTGCCTGAGCTGCGGCTGGGCCCTGGGCTCTAAAAACAGTAACAGCAACAATCCCTTTTTACTGGATATCTACTATGCGTCAGCTGGTGTTTTAAGTGATGGGGATGTGGTAGCGAATAAAAATTTTTGCCCTTATGGAGCTGACATTCTAGTAGGGGTTAACATACAATAAGCCATAAACATAATGAATAAGTAAAGTCGATGGTATATTAGGGAAAAATAGAGCAAGATGAGGTTGTCTGGAGCACCTGTGGTACAGGCAGGGCACACTTTTAAAAAGGTGATCAGGGAGGCCTTATTGAGAAGGAGATATTTGAGCAAAGACTTAAAGGAGGTGAGCAGTGAGCCACGTGGGTATTGGAGGAGCAGGAAGGCCAGCAGGGGCACAAGCCCTGAGGTGAAACTGCCTCGCATGGGGGAGGAACGAGACAGAAACCACTGTCATCTGTGGGCCCAACACACCTGGATGGTGAGCTGTTTGGCCAGAATCGCCCCGATGGTGTCACACAGGCTGGTCAGGAGGCAGCAGGCAGCACACAGCGCCGACTGGTCCCGTCCGGATTTCTTCCCACATCTCAGATAGAGAAGCCTGTGGGGACAGACAGGCGTGTGGGCAGAACACAGAGATGTGAGTTTGGGTTCCCAAAGCAGGTGTCTGAAAAGGGCAATTGTGACTTTATGTCCCTCAGAATCACTTTCTTCCCGATATTCAGCAGGTGGTTTTGACCTTAGTTTACAGATGGTTAAAGAAAGGATGGAAAGCCTCCGAGCCTCTGACCAACAAGCCCATGGCAGGAGGCAGACCTCATGAAAGGACGAAAGAAATTCCTCCTACAAATCTGGCTGCCTCAAGTTCATGAACCACCACTCAGTGCTGACAAATGAGCTGTCAGCTTTTATGTTTTGAAAGGAAACAGGAGGGTTATAAAAGTAACCCAATCATTGCAGTTTAACTGCAGAGCAGAGTTAATTGCCTGGATTAAAAAGGCAACTTGCTTCTTTGAAATTAAAATGAAATCCTCTAATCCATCTGTGCAGTGAAATGGCCTGGCTTCTGCCAGCTGCATCCAAACTGATTTCATTTTGGGTGCATGTTCTTCACACACCGGGGGAGACTCCTCTAAGTTGCGATGGCACTTTGGGCTGACCTCCCCCTAGGGGCCCCACTGCTGGCTTCTCTCCCTTACTGCCCGCTTTCCAACCCCAGGAACAAGCGCAGGAAGGCAGGACAGACTGGAAGGGGCCAGATGTCTCTCTGTCAGCATCATTGATCGGATCTTGCAAATACTTTATTCTAGATGTTTCCCTGCTCCATTTCTATGGAGAAACTGAGGCATGATGGCAGCTCTGGTTTCACTTCCTTTAACCACAGGGTGGTACTCACTCTACATCATTAGGACCATATGGCTGGTTCTGAGCATCAGCCCTCGGGACTAATGAATGAGGACAGAAGGCCATTGGGCTCCCAAACATTCCCCGACCGGCCAGCCGAAGCCCAAAGCTCACAGTGGGAATACCAACTGTTAATTTGGGTCCTGAACCCAGGTTATGGGGACCACTTGGCCAAAACACTCCAGGTGTCGGACAGACCAGGGCAAAGTCTGTGGCCGGAGTAGGATACCAGCCTCCCCTCTTCTCAGCTAAGAAGGCCAGTAAATTGAGGCCAGAAACATTGAGAGACTTGTCCAAGGCCCAGGAGTGAAGACTCCTACATTAGAGACTCTCTGAGTTGGACCCAAATTAGAAATAATTCATTTAGGGCTACCCTGGTGGCGCAGTGGTTAAGAATCCTCCTGCCAATGCAGGGGACATAGGTTCGAGCCCTGGTCCGGGAAGATCCCACATGCCGCGGAGCAACTAAGCCTGTGCGCCACAACTACTGAGCCTGCGCTCTAGAGCCCGCGAGCCACAACTACTGAGCCCGTGTGCCACAACTGCTGAGGCCTCCGCACCTGGAGCCCGTGCTCCGCAACAAGAGAAGCCACGGCCACGAGAGGCCCGCGCACCACAACAAAGAGTAGCCCCCGCTCACCGCAACCAGAGAAAGCCCGCACGCGGCAACCAAGACCCAACACAGCCAAAAAAAACACAAACAAAAAAATAAATAAATAAATAAATTGATTTTCAAAAAGAAATAATTCATTTCAACCCTCCCATTTGAGAAAGGAGAAAACTGAGGCCTATGGTGAAAGGTGAGTTAACGGCAGGCCTCTGCTTCACGTGTGGCGGCTCTGCGTGTGCCCTGAGGCTCTTCAGCCACTTCCCCAGCTCTTAGAGGTCAGGGATCCCGGGCTGACTCTGACCCAGTCCCCACACAGCTGAGGCAAGGCGAAAAGGCAGAGGCTGTGCTCTCAGCCTGGCCACTGGGCATTCTCGAGGGAGCTCCTTAACCTCTCCAAGCCTTAGTTCCTGGAGGGTAAGACGTCTAATAATACTGGCTTTAGAGGGTGGCGGTGAGGGACAAGTGAGATAATGCACATAAAGTGCCTTGTTAGTTCCCATCCTCTGATCTGGGTAGTTTACCTCACAAGCCGGCCCCTTTCTAGTAGGTTCTGGGATTTCGGTTCTCCCCATTTACTCAGGCAAGTTAGTTAACCTCTCAGCAGCTCAGGCTTCTCATCTAAGCGGGGTCAATGACAGTCCCTACCCCATGGGGCTGTGGCAGGGATCAGTGAGTTAACACAGCACTAGACCCTCAGTAACTGTTCTAAGTGTCTTCTTACTCATATTCCAGGGACTGGGCAGTGGGGCTGCAGAATCTCTCCACCAGCGTGAAATGCCTGAGGGGAACAGGACTGCCTGTCAAAGGTGAGCCGGTGTCAGCCTCCCTCAGGGGTGGCCCTTCTCCCCTGCCAGGGAATACGCGGGTGGCACCATCCTCCAGAGCTTGGGACAGGGTGGCAGAAGATCTGGAGACCACCTTTAGCCAGACTTCGCCCTTAGAACCCAGGTTATGGGGACCACTTGGCCAAAACACTCCAGGTGTCGGACAGACCAGGGCAAAGTCTGTGGCCGGAGTAGGATACCAGCCTCCCCTCTTCTCAGCTAAGAAGGCCAGTAAATTGAGGCCAGAAACATTGAGAGACTTGTCCAAGGCCCTTGCCCTCCGCCAAGGGTTGATGGCAGTGTTGGAGCAATAATAATGCTGTTTAATGAGCACTCAGTAAGGGCTTTACCAGTACTATTTGATCCTCCCAGCCGTCCTATGTGCTATCATCCCCATTTAAGTGAGTAAAACGAGCCCCAGGGATCTTATAGCTCGCCCAGCTCACATGGCCAGTAAACGGGGAAAGGCTGACACTAGAACCCAGGACTGGCTGCTTCCAGTCCACGGCCCCGTCCACTGCACCACCCAGCCTCCTCCTGCCGGCTCCCAGCCCAGCCTCCTTGTGCGTGGAATCCGGAAAGAAGTATCTGATTTCAGTCTACAGCAAAATGTTCCTCTCGATCCTGCAATTGTGCTGCCTCCTGCATCCTCCCTTTCTGCCCCCTTCCCCCTAGGTTTCCAAGCGCGAGTTAGCAGGGGGCAGCGCCCCATTCCCCCCCGCGGTCGCCCCGGTCCCCGCCCTGGCGCCGCCCGGCCCCAGTCCCCATTACAGCGCGTGGACGGCGATCCAGCAGGAAAAGGCGCAGATCCACAGGCCGAAGGAGATGCAGACACGGTGGCGGGCGAAGCAGTGGTCCAGGTAGTCCCAGTCCCAGAGCGCGAGCGCGGGCGCGGGGCTGGGCGCCTCCCCCATGGCTGTCTCGGCTCCGCCTGGCCCGGTGCCCGCGCCTCCGCCTGGCCGGGGCCCCGCGCGCAGCCTCCCCCCGCTGCCCGCCGCCCCGGGCGCTGCCTCCTCGCACGTTTCCTTCTCCGGTTCTGTTCCTTCGCGGCGGCCCCAGCCGAGCGCGCCGACCACAGGCCGGAGAAGGGCGCGCCCAGCTCCGCGCTCCCGGGGGCGGGCGGCGGCGGCGGTCAAGACTCGAGGGAAAAGTTTCCGGGAACGCGCGGCTCCCCACCCCTCGCGCTATTGTCGGGGGTCGGCGGGCGGGAGGCCGCCCCCCAGTGGCGGAAGCCGGGAGCAGCCTCTGCACAAAGGCTGCGCCCCACGCCCCCCAGACAGCTGCAGCACGGCTCCCGCGGACCCCTTCGCTGTCACGCACCCCCAAACCCGGCGGCCAGAGCGGAATACAGTGACCTGCCGGCTCACTGTGAGGCACCTCGTCCGTTCATTAACCCACCATATTTCCTGAGTCAAACAATACATACTTGGCGCCTGCGGAGCTTGCTTGGGCGCTGGGGATCCCGCGATGGGTGGGGCTTGGTCCAGATCGTTAAAATGGCACAATACAAAGGGTGCTGTGGGAGGTCAAGAAGGAGGAATCAAACGCGCCCCTCTGCATCCTCCGTCACTCTTTTCTGAGGCTGGAGCTGCACCCTGTGTCCCTGCTCCTTTGCCCAAGCGGGGCTCTGGAGGCGAAGTCCTCTTACCCCGCGACCCCCGCAGCCAGGGAGCCCCGTGATTTTTGCAATCTGTCCCCTCCCATCCAGCCACACTGCCATGAGTTCAAGTACACAGGGCTATTGTTCTTGAAGACAAACTATTATTATGATTTAAATTTTTCCTTGTTGATTTTAATAACTTTTCTTAAAGGACATGATTATATCGTTTCTTTTTTTTTATTTTTAAAAATAGCTTTACTGAGATCCCATTCATATATCATAAAATTCACCCATTTAAAGTGTACAATTCAGTGGTTTTTAATATATCCACAGAGTTGTGCAACCACCACCATTATCTAATTTTAGGACGTTTTCATTACCTGCCAAAAAACCTAGTGCCTACTAGCAGTTACTCTCCACCCCTCTCAAGCACTCCCAGCCCTAGGCAACCACACATCTACCTCTGTCCCTATGGAGCTGCCTATGCTGGGCATTCCTTATAAATGGAATCATCCAATAGTGACCTTTTTGTGACTGACTTAGCATAATGTTTTTAAGCGTCATCCATGTTGTAGCATGTATCCGTATGTTATTTCTTTTTATGGCTGAAAAATAATCCATTGTATGGTTGTACCACATTTATTTATCTTTTCATCAGTTGATGGACATTTGGGTTGTTTCCACTTTTTGGCTGTTATGAATAATGCTGCTGTGAACATTTGTCTACAGGTTTTTGTGTGGACATAGGTTTTCAGTCCTCTTGGTCACATACCTAGGAGTAGAATTGCTGGGTCCCATGGTAACTCTGTTTTCAGTTTCGAGGAACTACTGGACTGTTTTCCAAAGTGGCTACACTATTTTATTGGTTCATTCATTTTAAAAAGTTATGACCACACACGGGAGAAATAAAACACTATCTGTCAGGCATTGTGCTAGGAGCGGGGGACACGTTGTTGAGAAAAGCAGATGTTTTTCTACCTCAGTGGAATTTACAGTCCAGTAGAAAAGAGAGAGATCTTAAACAGGCAATCGAGCAAATAAAGATAAAATTAAAATATGTTATTAAACAAAAGGGGCCAAAATTCAAATAGTAACATGATTGAGATGAATTGATATAAAATTCATGCCAACTAAGACAAGATTAAAGGGTTAAATTAAAAGGAAAAATATATATAACCCAAGTTTCTCATAGTGTATAAACAAAAAATGCTCCTAGTCTGAAACCTCTGCCTTCTGATTCTTTTTTTTTTTTTCTTCTTCATCTTTTTTTTTTCTTCTTTGTTTTTGCCTTCTGGTTCTTTTCGGGCTCTTCCGGTGTTTGTTCTCTGTGCTTACAAATGGTCATCTCTGCCTTGCTCTCCTGTGGGTGCTGACCGGTGACTGCCTAGATCCTGGGTTCCTCTAGTGATGCTGTCTACTTACTGCTCCCAAAGGCAGATCTATCCAAAGATAATCTATTCCACTAATTATCTCACTGACGTGAGGACTCAGCCCACAGTCTTGTGTCACTCTCTCACCAGGCCCTAAGGTTGCCTTATGCTCTCAGTTTTGTTTTGACTTGAAGATACCACTATTTAATTTGATTCAATCTTTGTTACGGTTTCCTTCTCTCTCAGGCTCAGCATAGACCCTGGGGAGGTGGGCCTAATTTAAAAGTTGTGGGGACTTCCCTGGCTGTCCAGTGGTTGAGGCCCCGTGTTTCCAATGCTGGGGGCACAAGTTCGATCCCTGGTTGGGGAACTGAGATCCCACAAGCTGCATGGTGTGGCCAAAAAATAAAAATAAAAAATAAAAGTTGCTTCAGGGAATTCCCTGATGGTCCAGTGGTTAGAACTCAGCGCTTTCACTGCCACGGCCCCGGTTCGAGCCCTGGTCGGGGAACTAAGAACCATGCTTGGCCAATCCTCCTCACCCACCTTGGACCAGGTTTACACACATTAACGTCTTTTTCTTAAATTAGTAGTTAATTCTCCACCTTTTGTGTGACTCCTCTGAGAATCTGAAGAAAACCTCATCCCTGAAAAATAAGAACTTGTGTGCACACCCACACACAGTTCCTCGTATAATCTTAAGGAATTTATGGAACTCCTGAAATTCAACTATGGATTCCATAGCAGAATAGACCCAGACTAAAAATCCCCAGTTTAAGGGTTTAAGTCCTACAGGTACCCTGCCTGAGCAGTTGAGGCAGTGTGGCCCACAGATTGTCGGTATCAGAATCACTCTGGCTGCCTGTCAAAAAGCAGACCTACTAAATCCAACTCCCTGGGCATGTGTCCTTGGAATCTGCATGGATTAGTTTCCTGGAGTTGCTGAAACAAATCACCACAAATGCAGTGGTTTAAAGAAACAAAAATGTATTCCCTCAGTTCTGGAGGCCAAAAGTCTGAAATCAGTTTTCACTGATCCAAAATCAAGGTGTTGGCTGGGCTGCCTCTCCATGGCAGCTCTGGGGGAGAAGCTGTTTCTTGCCAGGCCTCTTCCACCTTCTGGTGGCTGCCAGCGTTCCTTGCCTTATGGCTGCATTCCTCTGATCAGTCTCTGCCTTCTGCCTCCGTGGCTATATTGCCTTCTCCTGTTCTGTGTGTTAAATCTCCCTCTGCCTTTCTCTTATAAAGACACTGTGATTGCATTTGTGGCCTACTCAGATAATCCACGATAATCTTCTTGTCTCAAGTTCTTTAACTTAATCACGTCTGCAAAGACCCTTTTTCCACATAAGGTTAACATTTACAGGTTCCAAGGATTAGGACTTGAAATCTTTGGGGGCCGTTATTTAGTCAACTACACTGCTTTGCACAAGCTTCTTAGGAGATTCTTTATTTTTTTTTAATTAATTAATTTATTTTTGGCTGCGTTGGGTCTTCATTGCTGCATGTGGGCTTTCTCTAGTTGTGGCGAGCGGGGGCTACTCTTCATTGCAGCGTGCGGGCTTCTTATTGCGGTGGCTTCTCTTATTGTGGAGCACAGGCTCTAGGCGCGCGGGCTTCAGTAGTTGGGGCATGTGGGCTCAGGAGTTGTGGCTCGCAGGCTCTAGGGCGTACGCTCAGTAGTTGTGGTGCACGGGCTTAGTTGCTCCACGGCATGTGGGATCTTCCTGGACCAGGGCTCGAACCCATGTCCCCTGCATTAGCAGGCAGATTCTTAACCACTGTGCCACCAGGGAAGTCCCTTCTTAGGAGATTCTTATGAGACACACTAGGTTATGAGATGGCCCTCAGTGGGGCTGGAGAAGCTGCGGGGAGCTGTTCCCAGTCTCTGGATATCTTGGCTCATTGGATGATGCAGTGGGAAGACGTGGGCTTTGGAGAATCTTGACTGGAATTCTCACTCTGCGTCCTTGCAGGTGTGATTGGGGTGAAGCACTGATTCTCTCTGCACGGGAGTATTTTTACCTGTAAACTGAGAATAGGAGTACCTATCATAGAGTTACTGTGATTATTAGACATCCTGCAGATAAAGCATCTGGCACATGTCAACAGTGGCAATTATTATTGTTATTATCTTTCCTAGGAAGAACCTCAGATCCACTAAAAAAAAAGAGGTATAGGGCTTCCCTGGTGGCACAGTGGTTGAGGGTCCACCTGCCGATGCAGGGGACACGGGTTTGTGTCCCGGTCCGGGAAGATCCCACATGCCGCGGAGCAGCTGGGCCCGTGAGCCATGGCCACTGAGCCTGCATGTCTGGAGCCTGTGCTCTGCAACGGGAGAGGCCACAACAGGGAGAGGCCCGCATACCGCAAAAAAAAAAAAAAAAAAAGAGAGAGGTATAAAGAAAATGTGAACAGGAAGAGCAACAATGGAGGGAGACACAGAGCTCAGTTCTTAGCTCTCTTCCCTTCCCCACCCACCACGTTCCAGGAGTATCTGTCTTCTGTGCTTGTGCCTCCCAAGTGAGTTATCTGCAGCTCAGAGCTCCCAGACTTTAGACTCACGTCTGCAACTGCCTACGCGTGACATGTCTTGCATGTCTTAATTGAGCACGTCTAAAACCAAACGGGGTGGTTTTCCTTCCCAAAGCTGCTCCACCGGTGGTCTTCCCTACAAAGGTGACTGGGCGTCCCGGTCCTGAGGGGGTAGGTGCCTGCCCTCCTCCTCTGTTAGGGTGCCTCTCAAGCACGATGAGTCTTTCTACCAGGCTGTGAGCAGCTTGCAGCCGGGGTTGGTTAGTTCCTACCTGTCTCCCCAGCTCAGTGCCTGGAATATAGTTAGAAAAATATTTACGGAGTGAAAATATTCATTTTTAAACAGGCCAGAGAAATGTGATATGTACTAAAGAACATATTGAAAATGCTTTGGGTAGTATAGTCACTTTCACATTGTTGATTCTTCCAATCCAAAATGGTTCTAATGAACCTAGGGGCAGGACAGGAATAAAGACGCAGATGTAGAGAATGGACTTGAGGACAAGGGGAGAGGGAAGGGTGAGCTGGGATG